TGTTGTTATTCCAGTCAAAGGTAGTTGAAAGGAGAAAAAAACTCGGGAATTTCACAGTTTATTGTATAATTTTTAAAAGCCATCAGATTCTGATACTGTGAAACGTAAGATGATATTCTACTTCCAAGGAGGTAGCCATTTTAGGATCTTGCAGGAAATGAGAACAGAGCTATAAAAATGCCCTGAGTGCCCCTGGATAGAGACTAGTTTTCCCATTTTCATGTTCTTGGTTACTGATGGCTCCTTTTGGTAGGATAGTTACTGCAAAAGGAAGGTTCCAATGTATCAGGTTTAATTATAGCCTGTACTCTAATAAACATTTGCTTCTTGCCACCACAAAGCATTTTTTAACAGTGTGTCCTCGTAGCAAAATAGATGCAGTGTTCTTTAAGAGGCAACAAAAGCAGTTGGAGACAGAAGAATTTCATTGTCAGTTTCCTTGAAAATATTGACATGAAGCTTATTACTTCTGTTGTAAAACCCTGTACCAGTTAGAAAGAGAAGAGACCACTGCAATCCCAAGTGATGTGTCCAAATGCAGCTTTGAGTTGTGTGGTGGAAATACAGTGAACCCATCTTGGTTATTAACTATAAAGGCAAAGAGAGAGAGAAGAGGGTACCATTCAGGAACCACCAATTTATTGTTAGTTTGCTCTGCAGGTTTTCAGTAAGGATTTCCTTAACCATCTGACAAAGAAAACAAATAAAATGTCAGTGGCATGTAACTGTTAAGGAAGTCTTTGCAGTTTCAGTTCTGGGTTGTGAGTTTGTGAGACCTTGAAGAATTTTTTCTCTCTCTCACATTTTTATTCCTAATGGTTTTCCCTTTGTTCAACATTGGTTTTGTTCTTAATGATCATTTAAAGTCCCAGACAATACTGCATTTTGATTCTTGTGGTTCTTTATAATTTTGTGTTTGTCTTTAGCAGCTTGAGTCTTCTCTTCTGACCTTCAGTCTCCTGAAATTCAGGTGCAAGAGCAAAATCATCAGACACATTTTTTGAGAATTCAACTGTGCTTCCTGATGTGGCTCTATGCAGTTTGTGCTTCACGCCCTGCACACACATCTTGCTTGTTTGTCCAACAAGCATTGCCTTTCCCTCCAAGCTGAACATTACTGTGCTTTCTTAGATGGATAATAGTAGTTGCACATGTTCTCTAGGAACCAGAGAAATGTTTCAAAGCACAGTATAATCCTTCCAACAGCCCTCCAGGCTGGCGTTACATCTTCATGAATGGAAAAGTGCTGTGGTGGAGACGGCAGATGAGCAGAAGCAAGATTACCTAGCAGGCTGGTGAAAGACTTTTCTGAGCCCTTCATTTGGGCCTGATAGCTTTTCATCATTCAACCATCGTTCAGCATACTTAAAGACAGTGTAGTGTACAGGGGCTGTCCCACTTTGCAGCCCCACCAGCAATAAGTAGATACAGATTCTAATTTTCCCGCATCCTTGCCAACGTCTCCTGTTTTCTGTCTTAAGTTGTTGCAATTCTTAGTGGACATCACATGGTGTTTGATTGTGTCTTTGACTGGCATCTCCCTACGCACAGCAGGAGTGGGGAGAATGGCACCGTCTTGGGTGGGCTGTTTGTCTGTTGTTCTTTCTTAGAGTTGCTTTGAGCCAGAGCTGCCATTGTGCTCCCTAACAACAACATTGGCTGGTGGCGTGGACCGTCTTGTCTTGTGCTCATTGGCCATTTGTATTTCTTTAGTGAAATGTCTGTTCAGGCCCTTGGTTTATGACTTTTTTTTTTTTTGCATTTTTTTTGTAAAGTTGTTGATATTTTTATATATTCTGGATATTAAACCCTTATCAGATGTATTTTTGCCAAATGTTTTCTAAACTATAAGAGGGTGTTTTACTGGGTTTTTCCCCCCACTTTTTTGGTAAAGTTACTTGAGGAACAAAAATTTTGAACTTAGACATGGACTCATTTTATTTTGTCTTTTGTTGCTCATGCTTTTGGTATTACATAAAAGAATTCATTATTAAAATCGAGGTCATGAAACATTATTCTTTTTGCTTTATTCTAAAAGTGCTATAATTTTACCTCTTACATTTGAGTCTTTGATCTATGTCAAGCTTCATCCAGTTTGATTCTTAAGCATGTAGAAAACCTGATGCCATCGTGTCTTTTAAAGAATGCCTGTCACTTCTCTTCTCTTCCCCTCCCCTCATTCCTCAGCCGCTTTTGACCAGTAAGGGAGGAGACTTCTCCTTTTGAATAAATGTCTTATATGGTTCCATTTTTATATTTTGTATACTTTCTATACCTACTCTAGAGAGTCTCATTCACACCATGAATTTAACTATTATTCATAGATTTAACGCTTCTGTCAAAGTTTCCCCTACTCTTAACCTCATTGCTAGAGTTCAGAATCTGTATATATGCTTGATATTGCTGGCATCTTCCACCGGTAACTTCAAGTTCAATCAGAACTGAGCAAAATGCATTTTTAGACTACCATCACTTTTCCAAAAATCAGTCTGTTTCATATTATTTCTTCCTTTGTTCTATTCCCTTCTCCTACCCACTCCCAATCTGGAAAAAACATTGCTAATGGGTGCTAGTGGATAGAAAGTTACGCTATCAAGCCAAAGGTGGATGATTTTAATCTGCAGCGTCAGGCCTGGTTTTAATTGGTTTTGGTCAAACATTCTTCTAAGTGGTATAGCACTGGTATGTCCATTTGCTGTGCAGAGGTAACTCGTGGTTATTGTGATGCTAAAACACTGTGACCCTGATGTGTCAAATGCGATATTGGTTACCCATGGTGGAAAGTGTTTGGTGGAGATCCTGATTAAAACAATCTTGGAAGCAGGAGTGGCATCCACTTCCAAAATAGCTTGCCTCCAGAAACTTTCTGAACTTGGAGAAAGGGTGAAAGTTATAAAATTGTTCAGGTATTTTGTTCATAGGGTCACTAAGAGTCGTCTACTACTCGATGGCACTTAACAACAACTATGATAAGTAAAATCTTTCTAATGCACCAAATCAGAAGCTTCACATTTTGTGCTGCTCCTCATTCCCCTGCTTTTCTAGCAGTACCATGGCCCACTTTCCTGAATGTTCCATGTTTATACATGTCCTTGCATGGGCTGGTGTTTCTTTCAGACACTTGTTGAGGCTTAATTCCAGCATTGTCTCCATGAGGTGACCCAGTTAGACACAGTTGCCCTCTTCCTTGTGTTCACAGTCTGCTCAGAACACACCTCCTCTGTAAGAGCTGGCTTCTCTCACTGTCGCTATTGTCTGCACATCTTTCCTCTTTTTGCCAAACTCGTTAGAATACCAACATCTCTGCAGCCTCAGTGTAACACCTGGCAAGATAGTCATTGCAAAAGTGTTTTTTCATGTAAGAAGAATAGGCTAATTAAAATGACATGATAAATATTTCCCCTCACTTCAGAATGTTCCAGTAACAGTCAGAAATCAAAATCAAACCCCCTGCCATTGAGTCATTTGGACTCACAGTGATCCTCCCTTGGGTTTCCAAAGCTGTAAGTCTTGACAGGAGACTCATTCATTGTTCTTCAGAGGAGCACCTGGTGGTTCTGAAGCTCCAGCTTTTCACTTAACAGCGCTGAACAAACACACCGTACCACAGACTGGGAGCAAAAGGGGCTCTCAGTCCCTTCGCACAGTGACCCGGCTTTCTAGAAGCCAGCATTCACATGGGTCCTGGCGTGATCGACAACCTGATGAACCTAGACAAGACTAAGATAAACTACTTGTCCTCAAGTAGAATAAATATTTCAAATAAAGTCAACCCAAGAAAGTCAGGCCAAGCAGCTATTGATTGCTGAAAGCTTGAACTTAAGCCCAATGAATATTCCAAAGTTCACCTCCATACAGCTTGCCTAAATGGTGATCAATATGCAATTACTGCCCCTTTAAATGCGTCTTACACTGTCTACCTAAAGAAGGACTTCACTTAAAATCTTTTGTTTGTTGAATTTGCTTAGGCAGGGGAAAAAGAGAGGCCTGATTCCTTTACCTCCACTATTTCAAACAACTCCACGTTATCTGTGAAATGGCATGAATGTATGCTGAATGGTACTGAAGATGCCATGTGTTACGACCCTCATTCATTTTGAGAGGCTTTTTTCCTGAGTGTGTGAACAGTGAGGCTATTGTTTCTTAGTTTCCTAATTTCTTCTCCCATGATTATCTGCCCTACTCATAACCTTGTATGTCTAAGCTTATAAAAGGGTGCTAAAGTCCAGCTGCGGTGAGGAGATAGATATATATAGTTTGTTTGTTTGTTTGTTTGTTTTTAGTATGCAGTCACTGTCAGTCCATCTCAGTGAGGCCCGTTGTTTTTGTTCCACCTCTGTTTCCTTATATATGATAACCTTTTCCAGAGACTGGCCCTTCCTGGTAACATGCCCAAAGTCTAATATCTAGGAGTATAGCATAATATACAGTATAGAATATAGTATACCTGGGAGTATAGTAATAGTATAGTATAGTATAGTATAGTATCTAGGAGTATAGCATAATATATAGTGTAGAATGTAGTATATCTAGAAGTATCTAGAAGTATAGCATAGTATATAATATAGTATAACTAGGAGTATGGTATAGTATCTAGGACTGTCTAGGCTTTCTTTAAAGACCCTGGTGGTGCAGTGGCTGAGTGTTGATGGCTTACCACACAGTCCGCAGTTTGAACCCAGCATCCCTCCAGGGGAGAAAGCTGTGACAGTCTGGTTCCATAAAGATCCACAGCCTTGGAATACCTTCTAGGGAATGACAGTCACTGAGTCAAACTGTACTTGATAGCAGTGACCTTTGATTGGGGGTTTTTTTGTCTTGTCTCTGCTCCATGGCAACAGAAGAATATTGCCATGAATCTTTCTAATGCACCCTTGCTCTCTCAGATGGTATCAGTGCAGGGTAACCAGCTGTCTTGCTTTGCCCGAGACTAAGGGGCTTCTCCAGATGAGAGCCTCTGACCCATGGAATGCCTTCTGTGACTCATCTTTTGTTCCCAGAGAAAAGAAGATCTCCCGGAGCAGCGCCCTGAAAGTGCTGGACCACGCCATGATTGGCCACGAGGGCACCGACAACTGTCACAAGTTTGTGGACATTCTTGGCTTACGGACCATCTTTCCTCTCTTTATGAAATCTCCCAGGAAGATAAAGAAAGTGGGGACCACTGAGAAGGAGCATGAAGGTAAGGTTCACTCGGGGAGTCAGCCAGATGTTGGTGCTTTAGAAAGGAACAAGGGAAACGAGCATGGCTTTGAAAAACTACCTTGATGTGCGAACTCTTAGATGGGAAAGTGCTTTTTGTCTATTGATTTTCCGTGCGTGAAAAAGCAACCCGGAGACCCCAAGGCACCAAAAGCCCTTGTTCTCCTGGTTTTTTACTTGCTTGAATCTTGGTGGTTCCATTTCCTCCTGGCCTGTTAATAAGGCTGTGTGTGAGGGCTTTGTTTTCTTCACTGTAATTTGTAGCGAGGTGTCTCTCTGATGGAAGACCCTTTTGAAAAGAGTAATGAGGTGGCAATACCTGTCACCTCTGGAGTGGTGCTTTCATGTATTTCTGTATTAAAGTATGATTCCGCCAACATCAGGAATTGCCGAAATAAACTATTTACAGCCTGTGCTCCCCTCTTTATGTTTCTCCTCCCCGGTGGTGCACACTCCTAGCAAAATGCTGCCATGAATTGCGACACTGTAACCAGAGTAGTTACTGCGAGGCCAGTCTCTTCCTGCGATTGTCTGGTGGCCTGCTGTGTCCCACCCTCAATAAATAGCCGCCATGCAATCTTGAAGGCCAGCGATTTATGAGCACTGACAGGTCTGCTGGCGGCTCACAGCACTGGCACCAGGGAATTTACATGGTTGGGTGGTTATTTTGAAATGTGGGGGAGGTCTAGAGAGGGGCAAACTGGAACTGATGCGCTGGCTGATTCAGTTGCCTTGTCAGATGTAACATTCGTCCTGTGATTTGGAGGAGATTATTTGGTTTTGCTTCGCCTTGGCCAGTGATCGGTGGAATTTGCACAGAGGTCTGCAGGATTTTGTTGCTCACTTAACCTGCCTAGATAAAAGTTGGAGGACTCCTGTCTGTCCCCTCACATCGACTTGGCTAACTTCATCGTCTTCCAGCTCTGAGTGGCTCATTCAGGGACAGCTTGTGATGTCTTGTGGTGTACCCTTTCTTCAGCCATAATCCCATGTGGTCCCTTCTCTGATCACATCTTTTCTGTAGGGGCAGCAGAAGGGCTGGCAGGGGCAAGTGAGAGAACTGGCCTCACATAGGGCAGTGGACTAGAGATCAGAGAACAGAGACAGATTTCAGTCCAACTTGGGTCATTCACTGACCCAGCACCCGCTAAACACGTTAGCCCCACGCTGATCTTTTTTTCCTTCACTGGTGGAAACTCAGCAGAATGGTACGATAGGGAAATGGACGGCGTTTTCTTAAAGACCTAGGAGATAAGATTTTGGAGGCAGTCACGATTCACGGAAAGCCTGCAGTGCCGTATTCTCGGCATTGCTGCGTTATGTGCTCTGCTTCTTAGAGGTCACCACCCATGAAGTATGTGATGGTACCTTTGTTCTCTTAGATAGACACCAGGCAAGAAAGGAGCCAGGCTGGGGTTGTGTAGTTAACTAGGTGCATGCGTTAGACCTTTTGCTTCACCTCCCTGGACTGCATTTATCTCCCTGGCCTAAAAATGAGGACATTAAGTAGTGAACCAGAAGATCCGACCTGTCACTTAAGGACCCACGTCACAAACCCTTGTTGTCAAGGCATGTCCTGTAAGCCAGGAAGCTCCTCTAGGGCAGCCGCTTACCTGCTGGGTTCTGTCGGAAGGCTTGAATTTGCATATTGAGCATGCTTAAAGGAAATGTAATGGGAAACACGGTGCCCTGTGTGCATGGTACTAAGGAGAAGTAGTGACAGATTCAGTGAGCAGCTGTTTTCCCTCTGAAAAATGTGCCCAGTGGCATGCTGGTAACAGTACATTTGCTTTAGAGGGCCCGCATTAGGAATTTGATAACATTATATTAGTGAGGGCAATGGCTTGGGAAGACAGTTCCTAGAAGGCATGTTTGGACTGTGATGGTGGCTGAGGATGAGCTCTGCATCCTGAATACTCCCAGCTTCCAGCGAGCAGAGATAAAGTCCAGGGGGAAAATCCAGCCCTGGCCGTCCTCCCACCAGGCTGACCCTCCAGCCATGAATGGCAGGCTGAGAGTGAGGCAGAACAGGACAAGGACATGTTGTGCAAGGGTTTCTTTTGCCCTCAGCGCGAGCCTTGTATCCTCTGTTGCTCTCCCTGTGCTGGACCTTCTGACCTGAACAGACCAGATCCACACGCTGAGCTAAAGCACGGGAGCTTCAGGTCACCAGGACTGTGTACAAACCTGCTCAGATCATTCCTACCCCAGTTTTCCCCTGCTCTTTGCTCCACCTGCACTATTTGTCTCTGACCTAGAGTAAGCTCTTCCTACTCATCCCTCAGAAAGATCCCAGGTGGTATATGCATCACATACTAGGCAGCTAACCAAAAGGTCAGCAGTTCAAATCCACCAACAGCTTTGCAGGAGAAAGGTAGGCAGTTTCCTCCCGTAAACATTACAGCGTCGGGCACCTGATGGAGAGGCACTCTGAGTAAGGACCAAGGCAGTGGCAGTAGGTTTACTCATTCTTCAGGTCCTAGATTTTGATGTTATTTTTCCAGGAAGACATTGTATTAGCCTTTAGGCTAGTCTGAGGCATGTGATGCAGAAAGTGTGGGACTGCAGGCTTCAATATGGATTGAAGCTCAACATCAAGAAAACAAAGACTCACATCACTGGGCCAAATGGCAGCATCAAGATAGACAGAGCAAAGCTTGTTAACAGCTTCAGCTTGCTCAGCTCCACAGTCAGCACTTTAGGCACCAGCAGTCAGGAAATCAAAAGACAAATTGCACTGGGAAAGTCTGCTGTCAGGGACCTCTCCAGAGTACTGAAGAGCAACAGTGTCAGTCTAGAGACTAAGGTGTGCCTGATCCAGACCGTAGTCTTTGCAGTTACTTGCTCTACATCAGAGAGCTAGACAGAAAGATGATAAAAGAATTGATGCCTTTGAGTTGTGGTGCTGAAGAAGAGTATTGAACATACTATAGAATGCTAAGAGAACAAACAGGTCTGTCTGGGAGAGGGTGTAACCATGTTTCTCCTTGAAGGCAAGGATTCTGAAGCTCCGTCTGACATACTTTGGGCATGTAGCCAGGAGGGACCAGTCCTTGGAGAAGGACAAAATGCTTAGAAGGGTGGAGGGACAGCACAAGAGAAGACGACCCTACATGAGATAGATTGATTCAGTGACTAGGGTAATGGGGTCAATGTATCAGAATCAGTGAGACTGGTTCAAGATATAGCAGTGTTCAGAGCTGTTTGTACATAGGGTCACTATGAGTCACAAGTGACTTGACGGCACATAACAGGCTCGGTTAGGAAGATCTGGTGGCCTGGTAGTAAGAAGCTGCACCACAGTCTCAAAGATAGGTGATTAGAATCCACCAGCTGTTCTGTGGCAGAAAAATGGCAATGTCCTCCTGTGCAATTTACTGCCTCCAAAAACTCGCCGGAGGGTCAGATATGTGCCTGATCCGACTCAATAGCGTACAATAACTAGACTAAACTAGACCCTCTTATTATTGGATCCTCAGTCCCAGAATTTTGCCAATAGTGTTGTTATATGTGTTATTATATGTTCACTATCCATATCTCCTACTAGAATCAGTTCCCTGAGAGCTGGACCCATTGAATTCTAGTACCTAGCACAGGCCGATGGTTTGAAGCCAGGCCTTCACAGTTCAGGTTGATGATTTTCAGTCATATACTTGAGTGAGGGGTCCTTTACCCTGTTTGTTTGGAAGCAAAAATGAGAGTGCTGCTAGCCATATGTGTTGCTTTGTCAGATTGGTTTGGAGAATATAGCAGGACCCCTGCCCCCAAACCCCAATCAGTTAGAGTTGTTCCCTTAAGACCCTTGGATAGGACTTCCTTATGTATGAGACCACTCCCTAAGAAGGTTCTTTTAACAATTTTCCTTGTCATTACTATGCGTTAATAATTACCCCCTGCTCTTTCTCCTTTATTGCCAAATCTCAGAGATAGGGAATGAATCTTGACATTCACCCTGGCCTTGATCTCAGCCCATGAGATCTTGGAACTTTTCCAATAGGTTCTTACTGTAGGAATATAGCTAGTATGATCCCGATGATTAATTATTATCAGCTGTGTGATCTTGGGCAAATTCCTAAACTCTCTGAACTTTAGTTTGCCCTCTGTAAAATGGAGTAGTTGATGGGTATCATTGATTCCAGTACAACTCATAGTGACCCTATAAACAACAGATCTGAACCCTGTCCTATCTTGCACCATCCCCAATATACTTGAGCCCATTGCTGCAGTCAGTGTATCAATCCAGCTCATTGAAGAGTCTCTTGCTGACTCTCGACCTTTCCAAGCATGATTCGCCTTTCCATGGCGCTCTCCTAACCACATGCCAAAAATATTGGAGGCGAAGCTTCACCATCCCTGCTATGGAGCACTCTGGTTGCACTCTATCCAAGTCATCTGTTTGTTCTTCTGGCAGTCCATGGAACATTCTGTACTCATCTTCAACACCACAGCTCAGACATCGGTTCCTCTTCTACCATCTTTAGTCATTGTCCAGCTCTCAGATGCATAGCAGGTGATTGGAAAGACCATGGCTTGAATCAGAAGCACCTTTGTCTTTATGTATAAAATAATGAAACCAAAATCCATCACACGGAGTTAAACAGTACACGTATGGCAACATATCCTCCCTAGAGCAGAACAGACACATTGGGAAGTCTTCGTTCTTTTTATCTACCAAGGCTACCTTCAGTTCCAGCTCCCCAACTCCCATTACAGTGGCACAGTCCTTCTAGCGTGTCACTGAGACGGCTCAGCAGGAAGAGGGCACATGCTTTGGCTGAAGAGCATAGGTTTTACTGCTCTGCGGTCTCATTGCTCCCCGGCAGCTGTGTGAGAATGAGCAAAATTCTTCTTGCGGGAAATGTCAGAAGTCATGATATACTAAGTAGTGGGATAGGGTGACAACAGCTGTCTTCCCAAGATGAACAGAAGAGGTATAGAAGGGAGAAAGTCTAGATAAACACAGTTCTGGAAAAGAGGACA